GTGCCGGGAGGGGTCTGCGTGGCTCCCGGCCCCCGCACCGAACCATGGCGATCGCCGCCGTGAGCGAGGCGGAAACCCGGCTCTGCGGGAACTGGTGAGAAACGAAACAGGGTTTGTTTGTCGGGCTGTGGGCGTCGGGCGTCTGGGCCAGAGAGCCCGGCGGTTAAATAAATAGGCATGTTATGCGTTTCCTTGATATGCTGTGAGATTAGAGGATCCAAGTTAATAACGGACATAGTACCTTTTTAGAAATGTTTGGGATTTGGTTGTACCTTGTCAAGTGTCAATGTCTTAAGTAATTTTCCCAGCCTTTACTTGAGTTCCTGACTTAACAGGCAACTAAATAGAAAACAAGGGTTTTAAATAAAAACAAAGACTTGATTTTCCGCCAGTTAAACATGAAGTACATTATTCCAAGTATTTCTTTAGTGGCTGTTCAGCTCAAAAGCAGAAGTGTGAAAACAGAGCCAGTAGGCACACGTTCATCTTCAGAAGTTGCACCTTAAACACAAGCAACTAAAGAATATATATTATTTTTTTTTCTCAAAGAGACAGAATCTGAACAGTTTATTGCAACATCAGTCTGGTTTGTTTGCAAGCAGAGAGGATGGGCAGTTTGGATACTGCTGGTGGACTTTGCCAGGCTGTTGGTTGCTTGGGATCTAGCAGGGGAGAAGACTGAACAGTTGTAGAGCTTTTCCTTTGTGACACAGAAGGCACTAAGTAATAGGTTATAAAGTTAATTTTTGTGTTTTGAAGGCTGATTTCTTGTGTGCAGAGGGGGAATGATACATCCATCTAGAAATGATCCTACCTGCTTGAGGCAGGAATAAGGGCTAAGCTCCTAGTGCCTCAGCTCTTTCTGCACCTTCTGTGTTTTGCAAGCCTTGCAACAAGATAGGAAAATGAGTTTCTTAGAAATGGGGTGAATTGGGGAATTTTAGCTACAGAGTAATATGGTTGCTGCTGAGTAACATCATTCTCTGAAGAGATCTGGCCTAATAGTATCTCTTATTTGTTTTTTCCCAGCAGAGCACTGTTTGACCTCTCATAGCCAAGTTATTTTCAGGAACAAACTTTTATCTTCTCAGATTAGTTTATTAACATGAACCTTGTGCTAACTTGTTTATGCTGCAAAATTTGCCTTTCACATAAAGAAGTGAATCCACCTTGATTTTATCTTAGTGCTTGGTGAACACTGTGACCTTTGCCTGCTATATACATTAATATCCCAAATATAAAGGAGCAGGGAGGCCTGGCTGGTCATGCCTTTCTCTTTGCTTACTCAGTTCTCTAAACCATTAATTCATAGAAAGCTTTCTTAGGATTTTTTTTTTAAATTAAAAACTGCTTGAAATTGTTGTCAGTATATTTTCTGCAAAGCAACCTCTGTCACTTTCCTACAGCCAAAAGGATATTCCTGTTGCTAATTTCATCATGCATGAGATCCACTGTAGCAGAAATATTGAAGTATGCTGCTACTGCAGAGACTCAATCCCAAAGTCTGAAATGAAGAACCACATTGAGTCTGAGCATGTGCAGGTGAGAAACAAATTTCTCCTCTAAAACTGCTGACTTCTATGGCAATTAATCTAATGAGGTCTTTTTATTTTAGGTTACCTGCAAGTGTCAGATGAAGATAGAAAAAGGTCTCTTGAAGGATCATGAGGTTGGTGGAGTTTATATTATTAAAGACTTGAAAGATGCTCTACAGTCTTTTCAAGCAGATTCCAGAGCCTTTCTGTCAGCCAAGATTTGGATTCTAACCTGGGATTGATGCATCCTTTTTATTGAACTGTGCTTTCTAAATTTCCACCCTCTGAGAGAAGGTGGTTGGAAATTGCCTTCAAAGTGGTGGGGCCTGCTCAAGTCATTGTATCAAAGGGGTGTCTGTGATAATCAGCGATTTTGTCCTTATTAGTGATAAAGATGAAAAATGGAATGCTTTGTCAAAAGTATAGAACAGGATTAACTTGACTTTTTTCATTCCATTACCATCACGCATTTCTGACTCTGCACTGGTCACGATGTGAGTTTTAATAACCCGTTGTGTCCAAACAGATTTTAAAATAGCTTGTAAAAACAAGCTAAAGTAGGACATAGTGGGATTTTCTGAATTTCTGAATCCAGTTGGCTGCTGTCACAGGCAATCTTGTTAGAAATGTCAGTACCTTCCCTTCCTGTGGGCTCATGTGAAGACAGCACTGGAAGTTCAACACAAGTCTGCTTATCAGGGAGGGAAAAAATATTTTTTTTTATGATATGTCCAGTTCAAAACAGTGGAAGGAGTTTATCCTGCACATTTGTGTAATGCTTTTAGTTTTGTTTATGAAGCAAGTGATAATATATTATTGCAGCACCTGCCATTATGACATATATTTCATCTGTGTTTAACCCCTTCTGAAGGGCAACTTACCTGATATTCAGTGTAGTGTAAAGAACATACACAAGCAATTCTTGTTAAGTATTAAATGTGCTGCGAATTTGTTCCCTAATGTTACACACACTAACATGTTTTTTAGCAGTACTCAATGAAATGTGATAAGTACTGGATGTTGAGACTATATCTAAAAGCTAACTTCAAAAAGCACTACATGAATTTGCTGTCCAAGGGTTACAGATTTAAAAAGAATGTTTTGAGTATTCAGGGTGCTTTAGCTGGCATGGTTATGACTACACAGCTTATACAACATGCTGTTCTTGTATTTCTCACATAGTATCTTATTTCAGGCTATTCTTTAGTGTAGGTTTGCATCTGGCTAAAAGAAACAATAGACTGCTCAGCTCCTAAGCAAGCTGAGAAGCTTCCTCCACCTTTGCCTCAGTCTTCCATATGTGAAGAATAATCCCTCTTGCTTTTTCCAGGCATCAGCGTGCCCTCTGCGTCCTGCCCTCTGCCAGTACTGTGACATACAGCTCACCTTCAGCAGCCTCCAGGACCACGAAGTCTACTGCGGAGCCAGGACCGAGAGGTGTGGTGGCTGTGGACGTAATGTCATGGTGAAAGATCTCAAGGAGCACCCTCGAGTCTGTGGGCAAGAGGTGAAGCAGGTCAGAGGACGCAGATCAGGGCTGCGCTTTGAGGATGAGGATGCAGACCTGCGTGCCCTCCGGGTCAACAGAAACCGACTCAGAGCAGGTAACTGTGCTGGGCCTTTGTGCAGATGCCCAGGGGGCCAGAAAAGCAGATTTATGGCAGCTGTGTAGGAGACAAAACACTTAAAGACATTAGCAGAAGAAATGTTTCAGCAGTACAAAGAAATCAAAAGCATTGGAAGGTTTAGAGAATAGTAGTGATTGGCTTCTAATTTGACATTTGGCAGCGGATCCAAGTATAAGGTTTTATAATTGCTTTTTGTGAAAATACTGAGTAACGAAGGCTCCAGAGGCTCTGTGAGTGGGACTGTTGTACCCTGGAACAGAGCTGCAAAGCTATAAGCCAGGTAAACAGAGGACTGCTGAGGGACCTGGTGTGGAAGCCCAGTCTGTTGCCATAAACTCTCCAGCTTAAAAATTAAATTGGAGTTGTTTGCTCACTGCAAATCCTGTCCATTTTAGTTTAGCAGCTGCCATTCCTCTTCACTTCAGTTAAGTGGAATGGTTGGTAAGACCTGGATTTGAGTTAACATATTAAGTGCTGTGCCTTTCTGTAGTAACAACCTGTACCTTCCCAACCAAAAAATATTTCCTGGTTTTCTTCTGTATATGTATCATTCCCACTGTTGTCAGATGTAATATCACTGAAAGGAATTTGTTTTCCCATCCATGTACTGGAGAACTAAAGCTGAAGTGTTTAAGCCTTGTAAAAGGGATAAGACTATAGTAGGTTAATAGGACCTTGTTCACAGTGTACGTTACAGAAAGTTCCTCAGTGGCTTTGTAAGGCTCCCAAGAGGCTTAAATTCAAGCATTTGGAGGAAAAGGAATTACTTGCTTATTTTTCTCCTTTTTTGCTTTCTCCTTCTTCCTCCTGAATTTGGTAGAGGAGTCCTTCTAGGCTGTGGAACACTGACTTCCACGAGCATCCACATGTGCACTAGGCTGAACTAGTCCAATGCATAGATCTGAGCTGCTTGTTGCAGATTTAACATTCTCTCTAATTTATGGTGTTTATCTTTTGAAGAGGACGGACTGGAGCAGTTGGAGAGAAATGAAAACACTTGTTCTTCACTTTATGAGGAGTGGAACGCTGATTTAGACTACGTGTTGGCTCTTAGCCTGCAAAATGAGACTAATCCTCTCAGTAATGCTGGAGCTGAAATCCCCAGGGACTTCTGGGACAGCTACTACACCAAAGATTCTGTGCCCTCAGCATATCTTAAAGAACCAGACAAGTCAAATATCTTCTCTTGTGACTCTTCCATGTCCTTTAGCATGTCAAACTACATAGAAAGTAAGTATAAATGCTATTGTGGTGGGTTTTTTTACCTTAAAAGTTTGAGGGAAGTGAGAAGATAAGAAAGGATTATTGGATTTGGAATGTCCAAGATTGTCTAGGTATTTTAAAGTGTCAAAATTAGTCTCTTTGAGATGCCCTCTAAATAATTTCTAGATAATTAATACACAGGAGATTAGACTCTCCACGAGTACTATCCTTCCTTCCTCTCTTAAATGTTCTGCTTCCACAGAACTTAGCAATATTAAGGGTTCAAAATACTATCTTTCCAAGAGGTATTACTAAAGCAAGACAGCAAGGGAAGAAGAAATAAAAACTGTGGTGAATCTTGGACCTTGATATGTGGTGAGAGCTTCATTACAACTGAGGAGGTGACAACTTTTTGAAGTTAACACGAGAGGAAGGGAGGATCTGGGGGAGATCTGAGCGGCCATCTTACTTTGAAAGGAGAAATGGTAGTAGAGGATTTATTGAAGTCAGTAATGGGCTTTTTTACCAGACTGTTCTTTGACCCCAAAACTTTGTTCTCACACTGGGTGATGTGAATCTGCTGACATGAAATTAAGTAAGTGGGACTGGAGTAACGATATCCTTCACACTTGCTGTGCTTGCTGTTCTGGGCACAGAGCAGGAGTCTGCTGCTTAGGAATGTTGAAGATAAGTCACTCCAACTGCATCAGACCTCTCTGGTAGAGAATGTAACTATCTCTTCCTCTGCAGATGATGAGACTACTGTGCTGCCGTGTGAATTTTGTGAGGAGCTGTACCCAGCTGAGGATCTGATTCTTCACCAGGTTCAGTACTTTCTTGCCTTGTATCTAGGGATTTGCAGTAAAGACTTTTTTCTGTTATCATAACTGAACAAGGGTGCAATTTACCCGTAGAGCTGGGAGAACTCCTGCCATTTGCTCTTTGCAGGGCATGGTTTGTACAGTCTATCTGTGTTCAACAGGAGCACTAACTTGTCCATGTCTCTCACGTAACAGACAGGTTGTAACCCAGCAAGTGCCTTCGCCTCGTTCAGCAAAAGAAGTTCTCAAAATCCATGGGAATATGATGGTCTGTGTGATGCTGGCTCCAAAGGCTGCTGGTCTCTCTCTTCGTCCCCGCCCCAAGCTGTCCAGGCAGAAGACGACATTATGATTCCATGTGAATTTTGTGGCATCCAGCTGGAAGAGGAGATTCTCTTTCATCATCAGGTACAAACCACAACTTGACCCCTTGTGTCACCTCCAGTTGTTCAAGAGCTGTGCCAAGTCCTGCGGCCTCTTCTTGTGGCACATTTCAGGAATCCAAGTAACTGTCCCCTGTGTCAGATCATCTTAAACAAACACTCTTGGCTTTGCAGTGCTCTGCAGTGTTGTTACAGGAATGAGTCTGGATGACCTATCATTTCACTGTGTGTTTCCCCACAGCACCACTGTGACCTGCGCCCAGCCAGCCCAGCAGCCAGAGCTCCAGCTCAGCAGCTGCTGCCTCTGCAGAACAACAGAGAGAGGAGGGAATCACCAGAGCTGGCTCGGAGACGGCTGCGGCATCAAGGTGGGGACAAAGCACAGACTTACACACTTTCCTTTACATTTGCAGAACGCTGTGCATATTCCAAACTAAATAGATGTTACCCTGTTTTGTCTCTAAAATTTAAAAAACCTCCCCCCCTACCCCCCATGGGTGTAGTTGTACACAAGCAAGATTAACTCACTGAGACTCAGCATCCTGAAAGATTCTGGTTATGAAGCTACATGCTGCTGGAATGGCAATGAAGTCTAGTTGTGTTGTCTGAATGGTCTTTAATGTCTTGCACTGCATTCCCTATCCCTGTTCAGCACTGTGTTCTTGTCCCCTCAGGAGATGTTTCTCCTCGGAGCACAGAAGGCTTTGGGCAGCAGAGGCTCAGTTGTCCCGCCCGAGGGGCCAAGTCACTGAGTAATGCAGCAAACACCAGGAATGTCCTGTCCTCTTCATCCAGACCTCGGGAGGCTCCTGATGTGAGAAGAAAGCCCAGGAAGGCGCCTGGCAGTGAGGGAAGGGCGAAGAACAGAGGGGCAAGTGAATCTGCAGGTGAGACAACACCACGTGCAAGACCTGCTCGGGACACTGATTCAGAAGGCTTCACATCCAGCTTTTCCAGAACTCCTCCAACCCAGCCAAGGTAAAGGCTTCTTCCCAGACCTTCCAGAGTCTCTGTGGTATGAAGGACCCGTGTTTATTCTGTGGTGAAGGCACTGAAAGGGGCAGGTTTGCTTCCTCTGAAAGCACCTCTGTTCTTCTGCAGGAGCAGCAATGGAGGAGGAAGGAGCCTTGGGATGTCAGATGTTCCGGCTGGCTCCAGGCGCAGGAGCACAAAGGTAAGGTGCCCAGCACGAGCTTCCTCTGGGATGGGGTGTGATGGATGCTGCCACTCCAGAGAACAGTGCCCAGCTGTTACTCTTGGGTTTTTGTGGTGGTTTTGCCAGGCTGAGGAGCTTATTTTACAGCACTTCCTCCTTCAGTGAGGTTTTTATTGACAGATTGTTATAAAGTACTCTTTGAAAAATGGCATTTTTCCTTTTCCCCCTGCTTCCCTTTAGGCCAAAGCCCAGAGCCCAGCACCTGATTATCCAGAGGAGAAGTGATCCACTACTTAGAAAAAAACATGTTTAGCACTCTAGTACTTATTCATCTGAGTGCAAGTAATATCAAGCTATATCGCTGTGTCACTGAAGACTTTCTATGATTTTAATGTTTTATAGGCAGTTATAATTTTATATATATATACACACATGCACACACGTGTATTTTGAATTTGGGAGTGTGTACTGCAGGGTTTTTACCTCTGTGATCTCTACTAGCAACATCCCAAGACAGAAAATACACCATCTGGGCACCACCCTAGTTGTCTTTCTGTACTTATTCTTTGTGACACCCAGTGAAAGAACTTTTGCCATCCTGGTCTTCCCGCCTGTGTCCTGCTGCTTTGTTCTCCTGACCCTTGTGCTGGTCATTACAGCTGTGCCCAGGTCATGGAGAGGGGGTTGTTGTCCATGGAGCAGTTCTGAGCCCATGGCTGTCTTGTAAAGCGCTTTTTAATGCTGTGTTAGGCCATGCTGTTTAAATTTGTTGTAATAAAATTTATCTGATGGTGTCCCAAACCACTGTGCAGTGAAGATCTCTTCCATGAAGGGAATGTTTGAGGATAAGTTTATCACCTGCACTGGCCAGTGCAGGGACACAGGACTCTATTCAGTTGTGTTCCACTGTTACTGGCTGCATTAGGGCTTTGTTAACTTGCTTCCTGAGAGCCACCAGCACCCCTTGTGCCTCAGCACAGCATTAGGGAACAGGTAGTGAGCAGGCAGGGCTTAGATAATGACTGTGGACTAATTAACTGGGTACAGCAGATGGCATTAGCCAGTCACCATCCTAGGGCAGGGCTGTCCCTGAACAATGAATGCTGGCTGAAGTGATCCTGGTTCTAAAATAAAAACATTTTACAGGCACTTCCACCAAATGTCAGCATTTATTTATACAAGAAAAGCAGAATAAAGGTATTTTAAAACAGATGGCAGCCAACCTTGCACTGGCATTTCTGGGGAAAGCTGCTCTGCTGAGGTCAGGGGACCTGTGCTGGGGATCAACAGGAAGCATTGGTCAGGAATGGTTAGTATGAAGAGTAAATGCTGAGCTCTGCTATTCCTCAGGTGTGAGAAATCCTGCACTTTCTTCCTTAAGAGGAATATTAGCAATTGCTGTGCCTGCTTTCCCTTTTGTACAAAATATTTACCTTTCTCTTCTAAGCAAATACAAAGGGCAGAGTATCAGCCCATAAAGGTGGGACTCAAAGGGAGAGAACCTGCAATTTCATGCCAGGCAGCTCCCATCCTCTGCATCAATGCAGCTTCATCAGTGGAGGAGGTTTTTGGTTTCTTTTTGTCTTTAAATCATTTCCAGCCCCAAAGAAGGACACGGTACATCTAAAGGGATGTTAAGAATCTCCTTTATGCAAGTGTACACTGTATGGCCAAGAGCACTTGACAGGTTAATGCTGTGTACGGCACCAAGATGGACACACCACGCTAGAACTAACACCCAGCTCCAGAGGTTGTTTGTTTTTTTTTCCATTGTTTAGTATAATTTTACATTCTGAATGAATATATATTAAAAAAAATCACAAACCAATCTTTGCTTTGACAAACAAGCCTAATACAGACAATGTCAAATTCATTTAAAGCACAAGGAAGTAATGATGATTAGAAAAGCTTTAATTAAAAGGCCATTTGAGCTACAGTTGCACCACTGCAGCACTTCCTTCCTAGTAACAGAAAAAAAAAAGAAAAAGCCCCAAACCCCACCAGAACTCCTCCTCGTGCAAGGCTCACACTGCTCCTCAGGACAACCCAAAGTCGATGTAGTTTATTTACTGGTGTGACATATCTCCTGTATAAGAAGCTTCATTTACACAGCGAGGTGTAAACAGCTAAAAGTTTGTTATTTGTAATCATAAATAATTAATTGTAATAAATATGTATCAAGTAACTTTACAGCACACATTTCAGGGCCAAGACGCAGGTAGGTTCTGCTCCAGCGTGCTCCCTGGCTGGAGCAGACAGGCAGTAGCAGCAGTTTCTCAGTCCCTGTGCACCCACAGCCCTGGGACACGCAGCTCTGGCACCCCTGGGCTTGTGCTGCCAGCCCAGGAGCTTGACACGGGGTGGAAACCCAACACAGCCCCCGAGCCAGCTGCCAGGAACAAACCCCAGAGGGGTCATTGTCAGCAGCAACAGCTCTGCCATGAAATTCAACTGACCTTCACATTTCCTTGCGGCACCTTTGGGAATGTGCATCCTGGATGGGGATAAACTCACTCCAAGCCATCCCTTCTGCTTCGCTTTCCCCTTGGTCTGTGTAAACTCCACGTGCGTCTGCGCCTCCTCCCAGTGATTTCTCAGCTACATGTATGCTTCTACTAGGAAATGGACAAGATTCAAGAGTAAATATTCTCCCTACGTCTATCTGTTCCTTTGGAAGGGCTATATGCAATGGAAGGGTTCCACAGCTTTCCTAACCACAGGATTGGGAGACTCTGTATGCCAACACCTATCTCTACAACTGCTGCACACAGTTTTCCATTCGCTCACAGAAGAACAAGAATATACACACTTGATTAGGCTTTTCTCTCTTACTCACACTTTTATCTTCCAAGTACCACACACGCCTCACTCCCAATATTCACAATAATGTACAATAAATACAGCTTTTTCAAGTCTCATTCCCACTGACAAGTCAAGTTAGCATATGGTGTTTTCTAACGAGACAGAAAATACCCACCTTTGGTGCAATTACACACCAGAGAGGACCCCTCGTGTGGCTGATGTGCACTAAGCACACTGGAAGGAAATCAAGGAACTTGTCACTCCATGCTGGCATTTCCCTGACATCGAGCACCGAGCCGAGCAGCACAACCTGTGGCTTGCTAGGACCTCGTCGGTTCTTCAGCAGGCAGGGGATTCTTACTGCCAGGTTCTGAGGGATGAACAGAGCCTCTTGGGGCAGGGCAACTGCTTTGACATGACTAACAGCAGAGACACGTGTCCTGTGCTGTTCTGAAACCACTCGGAATGGATTTCACAGGATACAAAAGTTAAACTAGGAGAACTACTCTCCCTCCACAGTCTGCTATTATCTTCCCATAGAAAACAGAAGCTCTGTCTTTAAACACAGCACTTTGTGCCTTCCCGCCACCTTGCCCAGGGGTCACATTTCTCAGATAATTTGCTTTTAGATCAAAGATTATTTTTGAGTACAAAAATGAGTTACAGGTGTTTAACCACAGAGTGATTATTTGGAAAGCTTGTTCAGAAATAGGATAAAGTCAGATTATAAGCTTGAAAGGTGGTATCTTACACCATACAGAGATAAGCCATTTTGTTTCTGCTATATTTTAATTACAATAAATTACTTTGTTACTGAGCAAAGCAGACATTCAAGAACATTTAGAGCAAGAACCCAGCTGAATTATGGCTCTTTCACTGTTCAATTATAAATCTTCCTCATCAAAAGTGTCTAGCTGAAACCTCAAATTGTGGCAGCTGCCCCTGTGCTTGATTATAATTTAAAAGGTTACAAGAAAATGGTGGGAATGTAAACATGCAGTTTGGCAGCCTATCTTCTGCTCTAAAACTCGAAGCAAGTGCTAGAAATTCTGCACATTGTCCACCTGTGACAGAAGAGGTGCTGTGCTCTGCTCCTGCAGGTGTGCAGCAGCAGCTCCCTCCCCACATCAGATTCTTGCCATTTTTGTACTCAAAAATGTTTGAGGGGAGAGCGATCTATGAGCCTTCACCTCCCAGTGCTCCCCAACTCAGAACACCCTCAACCTTTGCTGTGTTCGTGTGGGTCGTCTCTTTCTAAATTACAAAATTAGAAATGTACATGTTTAAAGGTTTTCCAAAATTAAATTATACACAAACCGGTCTTTACTAAACTATCCTACAAATATTCCACAAACAAGGCAGCAAAATAACCAGTCCACCACAAAGTCTACAAATACAAAATGTAAGTCTTCCAGTAATTATTGTAACGGGAACAGAAGTTCAGAAAATAACTTAACCTCCAGCTCGTCACACAGTGTTACAGGAGGTGTTGTGATGTGAATAGGAGGGTTTCCAACGTTAGCAGAGTCATGGAACCACCCGGGCAGGCACCTGGAGGCAGCCCCTCCTCCCGCTCAGCCGCTGAGGGGATCCTCCCGGTAGTGGATGGCGTATCGGAGCTTCTCCAGCATGATGTCCAGCGAGGAGTACTGAGGGAGTTTGATCATGAACATGCACGTTTCAACACGGATGTACCGAGAGTCTGGAGAACCTGCAGGGCAAGAAGCACCAGAAAGGGTTGTAATACAACATCCACCTTTCACCCTCACTTCCACAAGGCTCCTTCCCTGCACTCCTTACTAAGAAGTACCAAAATAATCCAATTCTATCATCTTTCTCTTGAGCCTCAGGTGCTGCTGTGCTTCTCAGTCAGTCCTTGGGCTGATATTTTTTCGAGTCCAGCCATTGTAGAAGCATGAGAGATCTTACACAGAATCTCTTCTTGCCTCTAGAGGGCAATGTTTTAAGTAGTTAAATTTTATTTTTATGTGGGTTAAACGCTTCTCATTTACAGTCATAACTACCTGCCTCTCTTTTGTCCTTCTTTGTACATTAAATTAGAAACAGGGGAAACGAAAGTCAGAAACATGACACAAGCAGAACTGATTTTCTTTGCCTGAGGAGACATAAGGACAAGCCTACCTGCAGCCCCATCTGGGGGGGCAATTTTCATGGGGTACGGCGGGACGTGGGCAGTATCGGGGCCTCCGTCCTTGCAAGGACAGGTGAAAGGGATTCGTTCCTGGTTACAGGCAAACTTTATGAACTTGCAGAGCTCCTCTTGAGTGAACATCTCCAAAGCGCTCCAGAAAAACTCGATGTGCTGGTCAGTTTCCATCAAGCCCACCTGGTACATGGTGTGTGCCTGGCAGAGAAAAAGCAACATGTCCACTGCTGCTTCCCTCTCCCTTCATAAACTGTCCCTAATCACACTTCAGGAGGACAGAAGGGGAGGTGCTTCCTACCTTGAGAAACTCCAGGTT